CAGCCTTCTTCACCACACTTATGCACCCATTCGTCTTCAGCGTTTATGTGGGGAAGGTGATCACACAATGATAGTTTTTGTTCTTTGAGCTAAATTGTTTTTAAATGAAGGGAAAGAAAGCCCCTGCTTTGAAAATGCTCAGTCTGTGTCCAGTGGGGGTGAGGGCAAGCAAGCTAGCTGCAGTTACTATGTAAGGCAGACTGAAAAGTGCTCCGATCCAGAAGAGGCAAGGGGCTGTGGGAGCAGGGGAGGGAGACCTGGGCTGAGAGGAGTGGAAGCAAGGGCATAGAAAGTAGGGTAGATAGGAAGTAACGGGGTGAGCCAGTGGCTTGATGTTGCCAGAGCTTTGGATTTGGGTCACTCAAGGGAGGAAGTGAGCAAAGGTCAGGTTGGAGACAATGCAAACCATGTTACATTTGACCTTTGTTTTGTAAGAATGGGAACCTAGGGAAGGTTTATGAGCAAGGAAGTACTAACAGCTTGATGGCTTCTTGTTCATTGGATCGTGCTGCTTCCCAAAGGAGTGAGTTTCTTGTTGGGAGATGAATGCCCCCTCCACACCTAAGATGCTTTAGTGGGAGAGCTTGGTGACAGCGCAAAAGAGAAGAGAGATTTGGGCAGGGAGACGAGTTTACGGAATGTTGCCAAGTGAGAGGTTTGCAGAAGCCTAAGTGAAGTCTGTCAAGGAGAATGAGGGACTTGAGGGAGGCAATGCGGACTGGTCAGCATAGTTTACCACTGTTAGGGAGAAGGGAGGAATGGAAATGACAATTCTGGGCTCCCAGCAACATAGCAGTGCAATAAACAAGGGAGCCAAAGCCTGAGTAGTAGGAAGGGCAGATTTTACTGTTTTGTTTTTAAATCATTTTATTGGGGTCTCGCTCAACTCTTATCACCATCCATCCATCCATCCATTGTATCAAGCACTTTTGTACATTTGTTTCCCTCATCATTCTCAAAACATTTGCTTTCTACTTGAGCCCTTGGTATGACCTCTTTATTTTTCCCCTCCCTCCCAACTCCCCCATGAACCCTTGACAATTTATAAATTATTATTATTTTGTCATATCTTATACCGTCCAACGTCTCCCTTCACCCACTTCTCCCCTGCCCCTCCCCCAGGGAGGAGGTTATATGTAGATCCTTGTAATCTGTACCCCCTTTCTCCCTCATCTTTCCTCCACCCTCCCGGCTTTTACTGTTTTATATTACTGCATTTGAGGCATCTTGGTGGCATTTGTGGCTGTCAAGCAGATTATTGGAAATGTGGATCAGTCTGTGTCAGATCTAGCCTCTGGCTCCCTAATAACAATGTGTGTGTGTCGGTGGGTACTTTCCTAGGTCTCTTAAGTTATTACAAGTAGAGAGAAGTTGACATAATCAGCTCCGCTGTGGAGAATCAGAAGATAAACAGGTTCACTTGTGCCTTTTATGTCAGTTTCTGTATCCCTATTTAGCTGTCCCGAGGGGCCTTCAAAAGTGTGTGTGTGTGTGTGTGTGTGTTCGTTCCATTGTCTCTTCATTTCTATTTTTCCACCAGTTTTTTTGTGCACCTTCATATCTTTGCTTTCTCTGTAAAGTTATTCGTAGGTCTCACTGTTCAGTGTGAATCGTTAACATTACCAGTTTGGGGGTGGGCTAGTTGCTACAGGGGATACAAAGAAATAGGAAAGTGTTCCAGGCTTCCAGAAGATATCATCTGTTTGAATAGGGAACAAAATATCTATATGAACAAAATAACTCCATGCAGTATGTATGTATCATATTGTGGGTGCAGCAAGTTCTGCAGAAGGAGCTGTTCTAGAAACCAAGATAGAGACTTCCATAGGAAAGGGAACAGACTGTGGAGTTTGCCAAGGGAGGGGAGGATGAAGCACTGGGCCATATGGTTGCTGGGTGTTCACGGGGTTTGTGGAAGATGATGACCCACAGGAGAGAGAAGGGAAATCGAGGAGCAGGGGAGGGGTAAACTGTTGGGGGTTTGATTAGTGCTTTAGACTGTGGAATACAAAGTTAATGACGGGAAATGTGTACTGCTACCTGGGTTATTATTTAAAAAGACAAAAAGCTGTTCCTGTGCCCTTGTGAGACCTAATGCCATGTGTGTATCTAGACTGTGAACAGCCTTCTTTCCCACTTAAGAGTGACAAGGCTGTTGTTCCAAAGGCCTTGCCAAAGTACCAGTCCCGGCTACCAGACTTATTACAGCTTAGTGTGAAGAGAAGGGGACTGTTTCCCGTGCCCCCACCCCACCCATTAGGAGAGGGACATTTAGGACTATCTTGCCAACTTTACCTTGTTTGTCAAGTAAAGGCCTCTAATTGCATGTGAATGCAGAAGCTCTTGAAGCGAAATGTGGTTTATAGTTACTTTGGGGATTCACTGTATTTTTATGCAAATAATGCACCATTCCGGCAAAAAACAAAACAAAAACGGCACCCTGACTTTGATAAGCATGCTATGCCAGTTTTTAAAAAGCATGTTGCTGATTGCCATTTCTATTTCTGATCCATGAAAACTTCACTTAAGGTAGGTACTGATTTTTTATATTAACTTGAAATGTATGCCAAAAGTGTTTACCAGTAGATCAACTGTTGAACTAATGTGCTCTACTTAGCAACTTAAATTAATAGAAACAAATGCACGATTCAGATTTTCCGATTATGGAGACTACCAACTTCTTGACCATGGCTGTACCTTTTATTATACGGTTATGACCAGGAATAACATTTTTGGAATACATACATGTGTAGGAAATTACAGAAAACTAACAGAATGATATGGGAGACCGGGTGAGTAATACATGGGCGTGCTATGCCAGAACTATTTTACATAATTTCATCAGTTCTGTGTGTTATATATGAGTGCCTGGTTTATGTGGCTGCATGCACCTGGTGTGCAGGAACTCTTAATTCAAGTGGATGAAAATTGTCGTGATCCCTTCTGGGTTCCTAGATAACAATGACATTTCCAAATGTTTCACTTGAGGTAGCACAGAGATGCTTCTAAATGTTTGTCTGTATTCAGAGCGCTCTTGGGCAAAGAAGTTTAGAAAACCCACGACTCCTGGGCTGTATCAGCCTTTGACTCCCAAGGGTGCTGAGGGGACGGACCTCTGGTTGCGGAACATTTATGCTCTTCCTGCAGCCCTCAGTCTGACAAAATTTTTACTGTTGACTGACAGCCATCTGCCAGCAACCGCCCACCTGTACCTCAGTGGTAAGGGGAAGGGGTCTGCTGACAAGTTCCATTCCCATAACTATCTCATGAGTGGGAGAGGAACGCCGTGCTGACTCTATTTTTTTTCCTTTAAAAATTACCACATATATCATATAGTGCAGTCACGTCAAGCAGAATTGTACCATTGCTACCACCATCGATTTTTAAACGCTTCCCTGTTTTAATCTGGTAGATCTGTGAAATCTTCTGGGGTTAGCTCTAAGCCAGATTTTCTAGTCTCAGCTTTTAAGTCTCAGCTTTCATCAGAAAGGCAATGTAGTATGCCCCAAAAGTTAAGGCAAATCTGTTTAGATCCTTAACTTCACCCTTTCCCAGCCATGTGACCTGGGGCAGGTTGCTGAATGTCACTTGAACCAACCTCCGTTTCCTAAATATGAAAATACATACTTCAGGGTTGTTTTGAAGATGAAATATGGTTGGTGTGTAAAGGGTCCCGTAGTGCTGTAGAGGAACTCATTACTGCACCAGCCCAGCCCCTAATGTTGCCAGGCTGTGATGGTGGAACAAGGTTAAAGTGAGTCTGTGTTTCTCTTGTCTCTTCAGGTCACTTCTTCAGACAGCTCCCTAGCTTTGGAGAGTGAGCATCCTCCAGGTAAGTTTGTTGAAGAAACAAGACTGGTGATGAAACCCATGACCAGACCTAACTTGTTCTCAGCAGTGCTTCCACATCTTTAGTCAACCAACACACACACACACACACACACACACACACACACACACACTGCCACTGAGCGAGTCTGACTCATAGTGACCCTGCAGGACAGGGTAGAACTGTCCCTGTGGGTTTCTGAGACTGTCTGTGTTTATGAGAGTAGGAAGCCTCTTCTTTCTCCCAAGGAGCTGCTGGTGGTTTTGAACTGCTGACTTTGCGATTCGCAGCCCAATAGGTAACCCACTATGCAGCCAGGACTCCACATTTCTCTTAGGGTTTAAAAAGAAAAAAAATTGCTGTCAAGTCATCTCCAACTCATGGCAGCCCATGTGTGTCAGCGTGGGACTGTGCTCCAGAGGGTTTCCAATAACTGATTTTGTAGAAGTAAATCTCTAGGCTGTTTCTTCTGAAACCCCCACGTAGACTTGAACCTCTAGCCCAGGGGTCCTCAAACTTTTTTAACAGGGGGCCAGTTCACTGTCCCTCAGACCCATTGGAGGGCCGGACTATAGTTAAAAAGAAAAAAAACTATGAACAAATTCCTATGCACACTGCACATATCTTATTTTGAAGTAAAAAACAAACGGGACAAAAACACCCGGCAGGTTGGATAAATGTCCTCTATGGACCGCATGTGGCCCGCGGGCCGCAGTTTGAGGATGCCTGCTTCTAGCCTTTCAGTTAGCAGCAGCTAAACACATTAATTATTAGTAGCACTCAGGGTAAACTCCTTGGGAAAAATGAAAGCTGGACCAGATAGTATGCCAAACCATACAAATCAAGAGCACTTCAATTTGACAGAATCATTCGGGTAAATCTTGGCCTGGCAGGGGTGATTAAAGTTACCCTCAATTAGCAAAAAGACGTGAGGGGAACTTCTGAAGTACAGGAAATCTTCCATTGGCTGCTCTGGTTTGGTTGATCAGGTTTTAGAAGGCCCTGGTGGTATCAAGCACTCACTCAAGCCACTAAAAGTACACCACAAATGATAGAACGGCCTGAAAGCCCTTAGGACCAATCTAGAAATCAAGCCACGAAGCTCTAAAATCCAAGGGCCAGGAGAAGGCAGTTCTAACAGGAAGAATAAAAGTAGACCATCTAGAAAGCTGAAAATCCTATAGGCATATCTGGTAAAGGGTTATTCTCAGGAGCACTCCTAGGTCTTCCTGGAGCCTGGTTATGGTATTAGAGGAGTACGTTCCCTCCCGGGGGATTGAAATATAGGCTGAGTATTAACATCAAGAGGTATAATAGTATAGGAGATGTTTGAACATATTAAGGTTGTATGAGTTCTGCACAGAATTAAAGATGTTTCCACTTTCATTTTGTGGGTTTCTAAAACCATTCATCTTAATTCTGAATTACCTGGGTGACACTTCCTAACGGAGCACTGCCACATAATGATCAGCGCTGACGTTTATGCCTCTGAGTACTTGACTGTGGTCTCCTGTAGCTCTCCTGTCCTGTCTGAAAGGAGGCAGTACCTATCCAGGCCAGTTATTCAGGAAGTCAGCACCTAGATGTGCCAGGTCTGATTTTCAAAAGGAATTAGGACTTGTTAGGTAAAACCTCTAGATTTTTCAAATGTGACACCTGATTTAAATTATTTATAAAATAAACATACACCAGAGAAAGCCAAGTCAACTGTATTTATGGGACTTTAGCCTAAATGACAGAATCTAAATATAATGCATCTCGAGTGTCAAAGACATGTTCTGAGAGTTCTCAAGTTTGTCATTAAAGATGGTGGATTAAATACACACGCCTGCATCTACTTCCCTTCCTTCGCAGAAAGCCATTAAAACCACCAAACGGTGTAAGTAAAAAAAGATAGAACAAGAGAGGAAACAATAGCAATTGAAAAGCAGACAGAAGAATGGTAAATATCTTAACAGAAAAACTGCTGAAAGAACTGAATTCAAAATTAGCCGTAGGGAAAGCCAAAGGGCATTGCAGGTCTAAGAAGCAGTCAAGATTCCTTATCCCAGATGCTGCAACTGGACAACTCCCCTCCACACTTTGGCAAAGACTGTGGGTCTGGAGAGGAGTTCTGGCTCCATGGAGGGCTGAGGGACTATACTAGAAATAGGGGCATGGAGCCCTCTTCCTCCCAGTCAGCCTCCAGAACACTGTCAGAAAAGACTTTGCCCTCCAAACAGGAAATTGTCTCATCCTTCTGTCCAGAATCCAACCAGCTCAATGGGAAAGTCCTAAAAACCTAAGTACTGAAAGTTCCCCACCTAAATGACTCGCCATCAACAATTCTCATTCACATCTAATCATCTTTAAAGCCTCTCCTCTGAAAAAATGCTTGAAATGCTCTTAAACCAAGGATTCCCGAACACCTGAGGACAGCCTGGGGAGAAGAAGGAACGGCCAGAGAGGGGAAGGAAGGGTCACAGCAGAGTGGAAGACAACTCACAAGTTACCATTTTCTCAGTATCCTGAGATAAGAGGATACATTTGCAGCATGAAATAAGTATAGGATATATAGATACCTAAAGTAATTCCTGGAAAACACAAAAAGAGCCCTTGGAAATTAAAAGTACAACGGCAAAAAAATTAAACCCAAACAAGTGTGTAAATCAAGTTAAGAAGTCTAGAAGAAAACAGTTAAAAACCACAGAGATGGACAATAGGAGAGAAAAGATACTTAGCAAAATATCAAAACAAAGATTCTGTCTGGGAGGCCCAGTCTCTGAAGATTAGGTGATTATAGCAAGGGAAGAATGAAAACAGGGAAGGAAGTAATTCAAGAACATCGCCTAGAAATTACAGAAGTTAGTTTTCCCCTTGAGAGGACCCCCTGGATATCAGCACCGTGCCATGTATGAAATTGACCCATCGTGAGAGTGAACGTGGAACACAGAGAAGAACCTACAAGTTTCCAGAGAATAAGTTCAATGCCGTGGACGCTTAACTCCACCAGAATCTAAGGCTGCTTTCAGCATTCTACAGGATAATAAAATCCAACCTAGAATTCTATGTCCAGCCAAATTACAAATCAAGGATGGAGGGTAGAATAAAAATGTCTGCAGGCTACAAGGTGTCAAAAAAACTTAACTCCCGTGCACCCTTTCTCAGGAAGCTACTGGAGACTGTGCTCTAGTAAGTCAAGAAAAATGAGAACATGGGATACAGGGAACAGGAGCACCAGCACAGGAGAGCCGTGAGAGGAGGCCCCGGGGTGGTGGTGATGGAAGAGCCTAGGATGACAGCACACGGGACAAAGCAGCCCGACTTGAGCAGGTCAGAAGGTCCGGGAGAGACTTCATCGGGTAGTTTAAACCGATAGAATGCCTATGATGCTTCTGAACTTCTTGAGCGAGTTAGACAATTGGTAAAGAGTTTAAGGATTGAATGAGCTCTAAGTGCTTTACATAGAAAAATAAGAAAACAAAAAGACAAGACAGTGATGAACTCAAGGGAAAACAGGAGCAGGGGAGGGGGGAGGTTACTATTTGGCTTAGTTCTGAGTTAATAGTCAAAACAATTTTTTAAAAATAATTTTAAATACTGATGATTATGGTGTAACTTCTGGGAGGATGGGAGGTGCATGTTCAAGAAGGGCTTATACTTCTTATAGGAAAGAGAAGTAAAAATTGTCATCTTCCTTGATAGTGAGCTAATAGATAATACCCCCAAATGAAAAGAATTAAACAGTAGTATAAACATTATGGACACAGAAATGTATCAACATGCTCAGATCAAATGGAATGTGCTTATTTTGGGGATGAAGTCAAATAGGGAGGTAGTTGGCAAGAATTGCTGTTTTTCTTAACAACATTTGTAGAGCTATTTGACTTCATGAAACTGCTCATGTACCTTTGGTAAAACAAAAAATGAAGAGGGAAAAAAAAGACGTAAGATTTTTATAGCAGATCTGGGTTTGGGACTTAGTTCTGTCACTAATGGTCTGACCTTGAGCAGTTTATTTAAACTCTTCTGAACCTGTTTTCTTATCTGGAAAAATGGAAACAATATTTACCTTACAGATTTGTTAGAATTAAATAATGTCTATAGCACATTCAAGCCATTATTTGGGAGAGCTGCTGCTCCAGTTTAGAGCAAGCTGTTAAAATCAGAGGAATAGAAAGGTAAGCCTCAGCCAGGAATTCCCATTTGGTCAAGGCATGAATGGCAATTCCCAGGGTGGCCCACACCTGGTGACTTTCCGGGAGGTTTGGGGTAGGTTTATTAAGCACTGGGTTCCAGCTTAGTATTTGATCCAAAACAACCATTAAAGGCGTGGACCATGCCTTTAACATCTGAAGATCTTGGAAGAATTTTATGAAGGTTACTTATTTTTCTATCTTTATTCAGAGACAAGAACAAGTGAAAATGTGCTAAATACCTCTATGAAAGGAAACGGGCCTAACATGAGAAAACAGCTTTCAGACGCAGACAAAATAATGAGAAATCCTATAGACTTTCTGTTTTAGTCAGCCATCTTTGGCCAAAAGTGCCAATAGACATCAGCTTACCCAGAGACAGGGTTGTGGGGTGAAATGGCTTCTGAGGGTTTTTTCCTGGTTTTGTGGAACCAATAAGAACAAAACATACACTAGGGTACCTTATTTTTAAAATCATGCTCTGAGTGTTTTAGAAGCTACAACACTTGCTTTCTGCCTCTTGAATGGGAGTTGTTGCAAGGAAGGAAGCTACTAACCCCCCCACCCTATGCAGAGACCGCAGAGTCCAACAACAGCGTGTATACGTCCTTCATGAAGTCTCATCGCTGCTATGACCTGATCCCTACAAGCTCCAAGTTGGTTGTATTTGATACTTCCCTGCAGGTAGGTGACCTCCCCCCTTCCCGTGTCCCTCCTTTGAAGCCTCTGCTTCCGTACTTCCGTACTTCCCGTCCTAGCTCATCCCAGGGATAATATTCTTGTCCTATGGGGTTAGTCTCATGTTTTTCCTGACAGACCCAACCCTGTGCTTTTCAAAGTCCTTCCCCTGTGAATTTCTCTTTGTGTTTATTACTCTTTTGGCTACAGGTGAAGAAAGCTTTCTTTGCCTTAGTGACTAATGGTGTACGAGCTGCCCCTTTGTGGGACAGTAAGAAGCAAAGTTTTGTGGGTAAGCAAATGTTTCTGGAATAGAGTATTTTTGGACATCTTGTGCCTGGGTTCGGAGAGAAGCTTAGGCTGGTGCTGAGGTCTCTTGTCTTGGTCTCTAGGCATGCTGACTATCACCGATTTCATCAACATTCTGCACCGCTACTATAAATCAGCCTTGGTAAGGAGCCCTAGGCCAACAATCAGAGCCCTGCCCAGAGTCCTGCATTCTTATTTTCTTTCCTCCAAGCAAGCCTACGAAGCAAATGAAACCAAAACTGGGAGATCAGGTCTCAAACTCTGTTGCTTCCGCCTCTAGGTGCAGATCTATGAGCTAGAAGAACACAAGATAGAAACGTGGAGAGGTGTGTAGCAGATTGAGGGTTGTAAAAGGATAAAGCAGCAGAGATTGTGCAGAAGGAGGGAGGGCTCCCTGAAAAACAAGGTGGCTCAGGGGAAATATGTCCCATCCAGTTGTCGTCCCCCTCCCGCCTGACCCCCCCAAACACACACACAGACACCACCCCACACAGTCAGGAAAGTGATCTGTGAGAATTAGTTCTCCATGGCGGTATTTTGCATGTGAAAACTCATTCCTTTTCCCCTCAGAGGTGTACCTACAGGACTCCTTTAAACCACTTGTCTGCATTTCTCCTAATGCCAGGTGAGTTCCCGTTATTGCCTATTTGTCCAGAAGGTGAGCCAGACTATGGGCATAGCTAACGCCCTCTCACTGCCCTCGAGTCAGAGCCTGCTCATAGCAACCCAACAGGACAGGGTAGAACTGCCCCTGTGGATTTCTGACACTATAAACCCTTATGGGAGTAGAAAACCTTGTCTTTCTCCCTCAGAGAGGCTGGTGGTTTCAAACTGATAACCTGTGGTTAGCAGCCCAACGTGTAACCCACTACTCCACGAGACCTCCTTTAGCTAAAGCCTTAGACTGGTGGTTCTCAACCTGTGGGTCGAGACCCCTTTGGGAGTCGAACGACCCTTTCACAGGGGTCGCCTAAGACCATCAGAAACCACATATTTCGATTGTCTTAGAAACCAAGACACGCTCCATCTCCAGGCGGGTCCCCCCAAAGGCAGATACACCCACTTACGAGTATGCTGCAGAAGACTGTTCCCCGTGCTACACCATGCTTCAAGACAAAATTTCATTTATTTGCCATTAGAAATAAATACTTCACAATATATAATTACATATTGTTTTTGTGATGAATCACTATGCTTTATGTTCCATTTGTAACAGTGAAAATACATCCTGCGGATCAGATATTTACATTATGATTCATACAGTAGCAAAATTATAGTTAATGAAGTAGCAACAAAGATAATTTTATGGTGGAGGGGGTTCACCACCACATGAGCAACTGTATGAAAGGGTCGCGGCATTAGGAAGGTTGAGAACCACTGCATTGGACACTCAAAAATCTAAGGAAAGGAGCAAAAGAGAGAAAAGATACTCTTCCCAAATACACACTCACTCTGTAGGTCTAGTGTAAATACTGCCTCCGCGCATACACATACCATTTTTCCTTTTATAAGCTCACTCATTTAATTTCCTTCAGCCCCAGCACTATGGAACTGATCATTGTTTCCCACCTTCCCCCAGCTTGTTTGATGCTGTCTCTTCTTTAATTCGAAACAAGATCCATAGGCTGCCAGTTATTGACCCGGAATCAGGCAATACTCTGTACATCCTCACCCACAAACGCATCCTCAAGTTCCTCAAGTTGTTTGTGAGTGCCCCTCGGCCCAGTTCTTATATGTTGGAAGGGTCTGTGAGGGTGGTGTAGGGGTCCTGGAATTCAAGCTGATGGCTCTTTCCCCAGATCACCGAGTTTCCCAAGCCAGAGTTCATGTCTAAGTCTCTGGAAGAGCTTCAGATCGGCACCTACGCCAACATTGCCATGGTCCGCACGACCACCCCTGTCTATGTGGCTCTGGGCATCTTTGTGCAGCACCGAGTGTCCGCCCTGCCAGTGGTGGATGATAAGGGTGAGCAATGGTGGGGCCAAGGGCGTTCCCCCAGCACCTCTGCTGGGAGAGGGACTCTGGGCAGGGGAGCCTTGGATGTTAGATCCTCCTTACTGAGCCGCCTCTGTCCCCCTAGGGCGTGTGGTGGACATCTACTCCAAGTTTGATGTTATCGTGAGTGACTGTGGAGGGTTTGGGAGGTAGGGAAAGGGGGTTGGGGGAAGGGGTATTGAATTATGTAGGAGGAGAAGGGAGTCTGACTTGAGAGCTTCCAACCTTTCAAATCCTGTTTGAAAAGGAATTGTTGAACTGGGTGTGGCTTGAGGGGTCCCTCCGGTGAGGTTTGGGAGTGGCTCCCTTCCTGGTAAGCGCCTTCCTCTTTCTACCCAGAATCTGGCAGCCGAAAAGACCTACAACAACCTAGATGTGTCTGTGACCAAAGCCTTGCAACATCGGTCGCATTATTTTGAGGGGGTCCTCAAGTGCTGCCTTCATGAGACTCTGGAGACCATCATCAACAGGCTGGTGGAAGCAGAGGTAGGAGGTCCCAGACACGATAGAAGTAGGGGTGGAGGGGTGAGAGGAACAGGTTGGTGGGCTGGGGAGGGAGGATGAGGGGCCCACCCCAACTGAGACTTGTACTGAGTACCTCCTTCCTCTCTTGTTGCTCTGGGCCAGGTTCACCGACTTGTGGTGGTGGATGAGAATGACGTGGTCAAGGGAATCGTATCTCTGTCCGACATCCTGCAGGCCCTTGTGCTAACAGGCGGAGAGAAGAAGCCCTGAGCCGGGGGAGAGGATCAGGCAGCACTCACTGCCTCCAGCAGCTCTGGGAAGGAGATGACACCTTGGGAGAATCGGAATGGTCCCTGCCCTCAGGAGTGCAGGGAGTTGGAAGAGGAAGGAGGAGGAGTGTTCTAGTTGTCCTTACCTTCACACATATGCTTGAGAACATTGTAGTCCAGCCCTTGTCCTCTTAGACCTAGCTCCTTTCTGGGTCGGTGATGGGCTCTGGGCCCGCCCTCAGGCAGATTCCGATCTCTAAGAGATCCCTAGACTTCACCCTGCCTGTGCCTCCTTCCTGCCCCAAACTCCGCCCTAGGATAATAGCACAACAGCCTTCATAGAGATATTTTTATTCATCCTGTTTCATGCTATTTGGGGGAGGCCAAGTCCCGTTAGTGACATTTCTTCCCATAATGGGAGTGGAGAGCACTGCAGCGAGGAAAGCCTCTGAGTTCCTGAGCTGTTTTTCTCCGGAGGCAGGCAGGTGGGGGTTAAGTGGAGGATGCGGTAGTTAGCTGAAGTTAATTACTTTTCATGGCAAATCTAATTAAAATGACAGCACCCTCCTCGTGGCATTGCAGTGTTTGATGTTTGCCGTTGATAGACACTACTGCTCCAGCCTTCCTCTTTCCTCTGACTCCTGTGACTCGTGAATAGCAACAAGCACACCACCTGTATGTAGATAGAATGTGTGCTGTGCGCCAGGCACCCTTCTCTGTGCTTTGCTTTACATAAATTAATTAATTTAACCCTTAGAACGATGAGAGATACTATTGCTATTCCAGTTTTATAGACTTTAAAACAAGCAGGCACAGAGAGGTTAAGTAACTTGCCCAAGGTCACACAGCTAGTAAAAAGTAGAGTTGCCATTTGAGCCCTGACAGTCTGGTTCCAGATCCCAGGCTCTCTACCGCTACACTAGATTGCCTTCAATAGCTGATATTCCCTGCAACCCCCTGCTTGCCAGCTCACTGTCCCCTCTGCCCGGATCAGAGCTGGAAGCCCATGAGAATGTTAGGCTGTCACAGTAGACAGGCGAGGGTTTCCTCCAGCCAGAGGCCCGCCACCACCATCAGCTCTCTACATGGAGGAGCTGGGCTGTGTTTGCATTCTTCTGGGCCGTTGTTGTCTTTGAAAGTCTTGCCTTTCTTCCAAGGTGAAAATAGCTGGAGGAGGGAGAGGGAACATATCGGGACCATGGTGACCCCGTCTTAACCAGTTTGAATTGAATTGTGACCCTCCAAAATTTGTACCCATGTGCTAGGCCATGATTCTTAGTGTTAACATTGTTTATCCCCCATTTTGTGACTAGATGCAATCTATGTGTTGTCAGCCCCAAGCTCTATGAAGTTGATGAGGCCAGACACAATCTATAGGATTAGGTAGTATGTAGAGTCCATCTCTTGAGATACAAAAGAGAACAAGTGAGCAGAGATCAAAGGAACCTGCTGCTATCAAGATAGAAGACCCGGAAGCAGAGAAGGCCTTTTGGCCCTGGGATCTCAGCATGGGGAACCTCCAAGACACATGGACAATCTCCAAGGGTTGACAGGCCCACAGGAGTTGAAAAGAGACAGGGAGCTTCCCCCAGAGCCAACAGAGAGACAGACCCTTCTTCCAGAGCTGGCACTCTGGATGTGGACTTGTAGCATCCAAAACAGTGAGAGTAAATTTGTTTGAAAAAGCCATCTAGTGTGGTATTTCTGTGAGAGCAGCACTAAAAAAGTGGCCTTTCCCCTGTGCTGGCAATGTGTGGACCAGTACTACAGGCAGCACTGGGTACCATGAGTCTGAGCTCGATGCCCAGTGTCCTTTAATCACTGCCATGCAGTTATGATAACAATTTCCCGTCCAGGGCCCAGGAGCCACGTCACAGGAACTCCTTGTCCCTGTCCCCACCATGCCTAACTAAGCCCTCTGAGCCCCTCGTCCAACCACGCTGGTGTTGCCCCCAGGCTTCCCGAAGGAGCCCTGGGAAAAGCAGCAAGACCTCGGCTTTCCGTGCTGCATCATAAAGATGCACTGTGGGGTCTGCACACGCCTCACTGTACATTCCCAAACTTGGGGGAGGGAAGCTTCCAAGTAATTAGAATCGGGGCATGTTTATGTTATGTGTGGGTGGGTGCATGGTGCAAAGGACAGATGGCTCCGTGCCACGTTCCAGAAGGAGGGTTTGTCTAGGGAGGTGGCAAGCCCTTTAAAAGCCCTAGGACTCTGGTGAGACCTGGGGTGGAAAGAAGCTTCTTCAATCGGCCCCCCAGTGCTGCTGGTAGGTACACAGATTCGGGGAGTCAAATGGGTGGGATGGGGCACTTGGGTTCCCTCTTTTAAAGGCTCATGATAAGAACAGGAGGCCTAGGTTCCCTGTCAGTCAGTCTCTGCCCCGTAACAACCCTTCTGGTCCCATCCCCTTAAAAGGAAGAGTCTGTACTCAAAAGACTGCAGATGCTTTAAAGGAAAACAAATTGAGATTCCTTCCTCATCCTATACCCTCCCCCCCAAAAAAACCAGCCAGTGTCAGAGTCAGTAGGATAGAACAGAGGGAAAGGGATGACTACCCTGGGAGCCCAGCTATCTCTTCTGACCTGTGCCTCTCTCAGGAGACACAAATTATCCCTTCTTCCACACGAGCCATTGCCATATACACAGTCTCCCCCTCCCCTCCAAGGGAGCTGCTGCCACGGTTGCCAGGCATGGTTGCTAAGTCTCTGCATGTAAGGGTTGGCGTGGGCTGTGCTGCCACTAACATTACCATGGTGAATCAGGGGACACCTGCCATAGGCTTGGGGGGAGGGACCATGTGGATGAAGCAACAGACCCCCCCCCAGAGCAGCAGAATGAGCCCAAGAGCATCACTTCAGGTGGGAGGTGGGCATTGTGGCACTGTAAACAGGAGCTCTATCCTGGGAAAAGGGGGTCACTTTCATCATTTCAGTTGCTAAGGGATTGGTCGTGCCAAGGGAGCACACCATTCCTCCTTTCTGAAAGGGCACAGTGCTTAGCTCTATCCCGTCCTCCCTAAAGCTGGGCAGAGCTGTGGGCACAGAACAGTGTGACCCCAACATCCTGGCTTCTGGACACAGGAGCA